ATCATCTGAATATCTGTTGTATTTTAATTATTACAAATAAACGTAAATATAGTGAATTAAACCTTTCAAGCCTTCATTGCTGTAAAAACGAAATTATAAGCCTGGTTGCAAATGTACTCTACTACATAGATACATTGATCGGTTACTTGAGAATACGAAATATAAGGTTTCAAAAACTCATGTGACTACTAAATTCTGTCAATAAGCTTTGTTAAATAGCCATAAGCTAAGAGAGAGAACATCGTTGTGCTCTTTATATACCTTTAGGTAGTTTGAAATTGTCGGCAGGTAATCATAAACTAAAGTAAACACTTATTATCATTGTGTATCTTTAAATTCGGCGTAACGGTTAGTTCACCTGTGGCTGGAACTCATAGTAGTTACCATAGCATTTAAAGCTGATTCAATGGATCCACTAAGGGTTTATCATATCATCTTGGAGAAAAGTCGTCGCTGTAAATAAAAGCCTAGATTGTATTCTCAATAATAACCACTTCTGATCATTACTTCACATGATAACTGATTTCTGGAACTAGCGCTGCATTGGGTGACTAACACAAGGTGTAGGTTTTCGGAGTTCGTATCTGATGCTGTTTCATCTGGAAAATGAGGGATATTAGAATTAAGGAGTTGGCAACGGCTTAAAATAAATATGAACCTCGCCTGGTTGATTAGTTCACTAGTTACTAGCCGGTCCTAAGCCCGGGTAAAGGGGGAAGGGTGGACATAGGGCTAGCAACCTTAACCTGGAAAACCAATCCAGTCACTAAAGAAACCTCAAAGCACAAAGAAAATATAAAACATAAAACAAATTTATTTCTACTTGGAATCGGGGAGGCGAAATGACGCCAGTTGGTGGAAGCCTGCCTCCGGGAAGCCAGTTGGCTGATGTGTCTTCTCTTCTCTCGACGAAAGCAAAAGTAAACGTGGGGACATGGAATGTCCGCACCATGTATGAACCTAGCAAAGCTGACAAGATTGCAAAAGAGATGAGAAGGTATGGCATGGAAGTGCTAGGAATCTGCGAAAGTAGCTGGAATGGAAGTGGACTCTACAAACTGTAAACTGGGGAGTCAATAATCTACTGCGATACTGTCAGCCAGACAACAACCACGGGTACACTGAGTTTTGGAGTGACCGTCATGATATCCGCAACAGCATCGAAGGCTCTCATGCAGTGGGAGTCAGTCTCCTCCAGGATCATGAGAGCAGGATGGATTCAAATCAAAAGAAAGGAAAGTCACAATCAACACAATACGCTATGCACCTACAAATAATGGAGAGGAAGAGAAGAAGGAGAAATTCTACAGACAAATGCAATCAGTACTAGACAAGACCCCAGCCCAGTTGGTGCCATCAAAATTCTAATGGGTGATGTGAAATGAATGCCAAACTGGGAGCAGACAACACTGGAAGAGAACTGATCATGAATCGAAAAGCATACCATGAAATGCATGAGAATGGACAACTGTTTCCTGATTTCTGCGCATTCAACGATTCTGTGATTGGAGGCGAGGCAGTGTGTACAAACACAAGGATATCCACAAGGCAGCGACATGAATCTGACTTCAGCAGATGGACACACCACACTAAATTTTAGATCGACCTCATCTGAATGTGAAGAAAGTGGAGAGGCAGCTGACTGGACACAAACAAGATGAAGAAGAGGAGGAGATGTTGGTTTAGACCAGTCACTATACAGTACAAGGAACCCACTTACGAACTCAAGTTAGAAGCTTTCAAAAGCGTTCGCGGTAGACTACAGTTCAAGTTGAACACCTCGAAAGGAAACTGAAGGACGAAACCTCAAAGGAAATCTTCATGTCGGTCAGTCACGAGAACAAAATGGCAGATATTAAGCAACATCGCTGAATAAAGCTACGTGGAAGAGCACTAGAACTCTTTGACAGAGATGTGGAAGGAAACCAGCATAACCGTGTTAGAAAGGAAGAAGAGTTAAGACAAAGAATGAATCTCGATGGATACATGGAGGCTGATAGAGGAGAGGAGAGGTGAGGAGATGGTCAAGAAGAAGATGAACCAATGCAGTTCAGTGCAGTGCAGGGATGAACAACGAAAAGAGGAACTGAGAACAACCTTTAAGACGCTACACCAGACGAAGCCAAAAAACACTTCTACGACACACTTGGAACTGAGGCATAACAGGCTGCAGGCTGGTAAGATAGACCTGAGAACAGCATATCAAATAACCTGCTTACTATCTGGAAGGAGATCAGCTCAGATGAGACCAGTGAAAGATGTTGAAGGAAACTTAGAGGAAGAAGGAAGGAAACGATGGGCTGACCACTTCAAAAAAATTCTTGAATCGACCATCACCTGCAACAGGTCCCGAAATACCACCAGCAGCCAAAGAATTACTAGTGAACACAAGCTGCCCGACAAAATTCAAAGTCGTGAACGTCATGAGGTTGATGAAATCCGGGAGAGCAGCACGACCACATGAAATTCCTACGGAAGCACTGAGAACAGACTCAGAGACATCAGTAGGCATACTCACATCACCACTGTAGAAGGTTTTGAGGGAAAGAATCAAAGGTATCTGCCAACTTATAAGAAAAAGGGCTACTTGTCAAACTCCCAAAGAAGTGAGATCTGAGTATTTATACGAACTGGCTTGGAATCTTGCCGCTGTCCATCTCAAGCAAACATTGAGCTGCGTAATCCCGGAGAGACTAAAGTATGCACTGGATTCAAAATTACGACTGGAACAGGCTGGCTGAATTCAGGAAGTACAAATCATGTGGGAATCAAACTGCAACGCCACACTGCTCATCATCATATAAAAGAGCATAGAATTGCAGTCAACTGCAGCTACACCTCAACTCCATCCACGTTGAATAGGCCTTCGATAGCGTTGACCGAGAAGTTATTCGATAGGCACTTGCTTCAACACTACGGTTTTACTGGCACAAACCTTTATCAACCTCATTCAACAGCTACATGATGATGATGATGATGATGATGATGATGATGATACTACATGCCAAGTGATCCACAATGGATAGCTCAGCGAAGCCTCCTAAGTGAAGACGAGAGTAAGACAAAGTTGTCACCTACTATCAGCGACGATCTTCCCGATTGTGGTGAACTTGATCATGCAGCAAACCGTGAGGAGTGAGAGGAGGGGTATACACCGGCTGGCCGGATGAAATTACCCTACAAGTTTCAGATTTCGCCGATGATTATTTGTGTCAAATGTCGTGCAAACTGGAAGATCTATGGGCGAAATCTAACAGCTTGTCAGAAGAGGCAGAGAGAATAGTGCTTCAAGTGAATGTGGAGAATACGGATGTGATGAAGATAGCCAACGAACATCAGCATCAAAAACAAGCACCAATCACCATCAACGGTAGAAACTTAAAGGGAAGTAGTCCCTTTCACCTAATTAGTCAGCAGCGTTTCAACCACAGGCGGTACAGGCACAGACAAGGATGTCAAAACGAGGATGAAGAAAGCAAGACAGGCTTTCATTTAACTAAAATCATTGTGAAGATCGACTGCACTCAGCCTAGTATACAAGATTCGGATTTTCAACACGAATTCAGTCAAGTCAGTGCTTCTATGTGATGGTTGAGAAGCTTAGCGCGTCACGAAAAGTATTTCTAACAAACTACAGACATTCATCAACAGCTGCCACCTCCACTCACTCGAGAGTGAAGATGAGATCAGAAGGCCAGCATAATAAGAATAAGCAACAAGGAACTCTGGCTGGCTGACAACGAACCAACCAAGCAAGAACCTATCACCTAACAAATATGCAGAAGAAAGTGGAGATGAATTGGATTGGGCATACAGTGAGAATGCCGACAGGGGACATCACGTCCCAGGCCAGGCCAGGCCATCGAGTGGAATCCAAATTGCAGACGACTAGTTGGGCGTCTGAGGTGAGGGTGATATGGAGGAGATCATATGAGGAAGAAATGAGAACTTGTGGACAGTCGTGGAGTCAGGTTGAAAAGACTGCAGAGAATAGAATGCAGTGGACTCGTGCTAATGAATCCCTATGTTTCACTAGGAACCCAAGAGACAAATAATAAGTAATAAAATAATATTTGTACTTAATATGAACAGATAGCAGAGCATACTCATGTCGATTTCAGGTGGTGTGAGTAAAGTTCATTACTTAAAGTTTATGTTTCACAAGACAAACATAGCTTCTGCATGTGGAGTTATAGAAACCATGATTCAGTAATTTAGAAATTATCCAGAATTTTCTGGAATACTGACTATTTCATAACCTCTAAAGAAATTTCATAATTTGGTTTTCGTAATATTGCCAGTCTAATCTTCGTTTATGAACACCCGTAGCTGAAACTTCCAAAACTTAAGCGAATAAATTTTGTGCAGTATATAATTAAAGTATGCATAGGTGAGGAAACGCCACTTCGGTAGCATGCATACAGTGTTTCCTCTATTATTTTTTTGTGCATTGTATTTTGATTGAATGTTCTTTTGCCAATGAAAAAGGTATTAATTGGTCATCCAAATGGGTACTATTAAGAAACCTAAGAAGAACTTTACAACAGAGAGTAGGCATGCTCGATGTGCATGTACAACTTTCAACTACCTATACAAAATTTATTTCCACAATGCCAGCAGGTGACTGAGTTTTTTACTTATGATAACTCTTATACAACTACATATTGATACATTAAGAACACCATTTACCAGATAACTTCTTAATGTCTTTCATTCACACCAGCCAGTTGTTACACATGGTAAAGAGAAATCAGAATGAGAATTTGGTAAACACTTAGGTACTGATGACGGGACCAATATTTCGTCTGAGCAGTAACTATTAATGATCTAGGGTTCATTTATCTGTTGATAGTCTCTGAAACAATTGTACTGTGTTTAGTCAGGCCACGGAAAAATGAACTATGGGAGTAATATTATTGGTTGTTGAAAACTAACCAATTAGATTCCAACGTCATTTACAGGTCAACCAGTTAAAATGAGTTGAGTAGTCAGTAGTATAAATTGATGTAAGAGGTACTAGTTTCCTTGTATTTCTTCATGATAAAATTAGCATGACAATTAGAAGAATCAGAATGTCTAAATTAAAGACAGCCATTCTGTACTTCATTATTTGTTTTACCTTCGTGTTCTTTTTCATGACAACGGTACTAAATAGACCACCAGTAAACATTCTAAAAGTGAAATCAGCAGCTAAGAAAATAAACACGAAAATGCACAGCAATCGGTCAAATTTGGATTGTTCATTGGAATTACAAGCCAAATTACGCAGTCTTCACTTGGGAGATGTTGTTAACTCAGAGAAACTTAATCGTATAATGTTAGAAAATTCTCCATATTTCATTACACAACAAACATGCGAAGATATATGTGATAAACTACCATTAAATTCTGTAAATATGACTGGTAAATATCAACCTATCGGCAATCTATCTATATCAACGACAATGGAAACAAACATACATAAAGTTATTAGCTTAAACAAACCGCATATCCCCGGTGGTGGTTGGACTTATAAAGTATCAGATAAGTGCACAAGTAACACTGGTAAAGTTAATCAGACTGGTGTAGGTATAGTTATAGCATTTCGAGACAGATGGATCCAATTAACGAGTGTATTATCAACACTTATACCACTGTTACGCCGTCAAAGATTGTGCTATCGAATATTTGTTGTTGAACAAGCTGGTAATAGTTTATTCAATCGTGGTATGCTGTTCAATGTCGGCTTTATGGAGGGTATAAAACGATTTCATTTTGATTGTGTTATATTTCATGATGCTGATTTGGCACCAATCAATGATTTGAATCCCTACGGCTGCGACAAACAGACATTTAAACAAGCTGTTCATCTGGGTGTTGGTTTGGACATTCGAAATTTTCGTTTAAACTATCCGAAACTGATTGGTGGTGTTTTAAAGATTTCAAATCAGCATTTCGTTCAAGTGAATGGTCATTCAAATTTATACTGGGGATGGGGTCAAGAGGACGATGACTTAGAGAGACGAATGAAATATGCAAAAGTTAGTTATTATCAAATGTCTCCAAGTGTAGCACGTTATAAAGCTTTACCACATGAATTACAACAGAAAAGTGGCAATACTAAAAGAATACACTTAAAACTTTTAGCTTCAGCTACTCAAAGAATGCATTATGATGGACTTTCATCACTGAGTTATAAAGTTCTGCAAGTAACTCAACACAAATTATTCACACATTTATTAGTGGATTTAGGAAGCCAACCGAAATTCTATAATTGTTAAGTGCATAAAATGTAACTTAGCTGATTATTTGCTGAATAAATCATTTCCATATCGACTAATATGCTGACAAAGAATTAATATGAGATGCAGTAAAGCAAACAGGTCCAAATACATATTGAAATAGTTTATGAAGAATAACTTTCGCAGATATGAACAGTTTTGTTAACTCAACCTTCACAAATAATTACGTTTGAATACTATTAACTTTCACTCAGTTAATTTACTCTTGGGTTATGCTTTGCATCCAGTATGAGGACGTTTCAGGATTTCGTCTAGTGTTCAAATGTTTGGTTGATATGCATTCACACATATATCTTCAATATTCATTTGAAATTGATGTAAATAGAAACTTATATCTACTTGAGATGTTGAATCTTCTCTGATAACCACGCCGTTAGTGAAATGTGACCAAGTGCATACAGTAATGACTTTTCTTTGTCCTACTTACTAAATATATTCTAATTCATAATTTTTATAAAGAATACTTCTGAAAATGCCTATTGAACGGTGTTGACTTGGCACTTACTCATGGATTTGCAATACCTTTTCTTTTCATTAAATTTGAATTGTATTGTAAAACACCTTCTTCATGTCATCCGATTTGTAGATATATGTCTGTATATTTGATATCTGATGCACCGTCACTATCATTGTTTACTCATCTAACTTAGAGTTAGAAATTATTTTATACACTTAACCTCAGTGGTTTCACTAACCGATCTCAAATGGTGGCTCCCTTCCTCCAGTATTGAAGTCGGCAACGCTATGGCGCTTGAAGCATAGGTTACTAGGTCTCTTCTGATTTCTTCTTCTAGTCACCAAACTAAATAAAATCTCGTAATTTCTACTTGTTTTTAGTTATCACAATGTTATTTTGTGTAATTTTAGTAGACAACTAGTAAGCTGTCATAGTTTATAATGAAACGGAAATGGCTGTGCCGGTAAAATTTCAAAGGATTTCGATAATAAAAACAGTTATTTTGTTCTTAGTAACTTCAATTTCTTATACTCTACAGTTCTTTAGCAGAAAATATGCTTGCTTTTACAGAAGATAAGGTACCGCTTTTTACATGCTGTCCTCAGAAAATTACCTCTAAATACAACAAAAGTTGGAACTTACTGAATACTCCCCGGATGAAATAAGAAACAGAAATATTTTGTCTCATTCCACTGATTTAAACGCTTAGTATTGTCTAGGAGAAGAGCGAATAAAATGGCTCCGGTAGATTCGGGTTCACTTTAAGTGACTGGTTTTCTGGCAGCAGCAAAAATACACCCATAGTAACTTCTTGCATAAAACTGATGCTGAGTTTTATTCATGTAATTTTTCTAAGCTATTTCATTGTATGGATAATATTCAGGAATGGATAAATACCATTCAGGTATCTAATGTGGTCACAAGTTTAATCACTAATTTTCACCCGGCACTATTATTTACAGTTCATTTCGATTTCACCTATTTTTCAGTCACCGAATGGCAGAGAATGTGCACACATCTCATCAAGTTTGGGGCGTTTTAGACTTGACCATCAAAACTTATCTTCACACTTAGGAACCGGTGGCTTCTCGGAGACTGAAATCTATGAAGTCAGGGACATCACTACTCAACTACTTGACTTGTGAATGACCTAATGATCAGATGGATTGCAGAAATAGGTTTGATGATTATCGGCATGGTAAATATGCTACCTGTAAAAAACTCATGTTTATTGAATGCTATTACACCTAGTTCAGTGTACGTTTGGTCGGTAGACATTTATTATCATATGGGGACAGACGTTAAATACAAGCTAACTAAATAACTGGTTTAGTAATGAAGCCTCCGATTTCAGTATTTAATGTCGCTGGTTTAAATTCAAAGATGCTAAACAACTTTTCTTGAGGTTGGAAACAAATCATGTTAATTGAAACTGATGGTCAAAAGATTCAGGTGAATAGTTCAATATATATATATATATATATATATATATATATATATATACGTATATGCGTATATACGCGGCAAATATTTGTATAAATCCTATCGAAATAAACTAGATTTTATTTATATAACACATAGTTATGCACACATATTTAGTTGGACAGCAAAATCAACTAATCGTTATTGGTGTACCAAAACAGGATAAACCTTAACTTGACCATTATTCAGACTGTTAGCTAGAAGTGATTAAACGTGTAACGGGCTATCAAACAATCAATCTATAGTTCGGAAGAATAGTAATTAGTATTGTAGAACATTCATGCTGCATATGCCTTTCGTCGACAAATCTGTCGTTTGCATTCTGAAAGGTGAGTTTCTACCACACTGTGAATAGTATCTGCTGCTTAAAATCCAGTTTCAAGCCATTAATATGTCACTGATTACCTTAGAAATCTGGACTTTTCTTCCGTGGATGCCACGTGAAAAACGGGAACACTAGAACAACATATGTACAGAATGCAAGCTGAATTTTCGCCAGAAGAAACAACGGTATTGAGACTAAACCAACTAGTTCACCGGTTGGAAATCATTAATGAATAAATGAATAGAAAAAAGTCAGGTTGTTTGTAACGTTTTTGTGTAAACAAAGAAATACAAAAAAGTAGTGGAAACCTAGAACCTTGTTTGTCATGTAAAAAGGCAAAACGGTTTTACTTTCGGTTATTTGCCTATTCAGGTAACTTCAAGTAATTTACTTATTGTGTTATGTTGACTGTAGTCTGACAGCACTTTGTTGCACGTTTTATATCTCTCTATTCGTTGATGAAGATATTTATTTGGATTTGTTCAGAATATATTCTGGTAGGTAGCTGTGATGAATATGGATGTATATCACCTGTCAACAAAACGAAAATTCAATTTTCTGTCCTAAAAATAATTTGATTTACACTACATTGTGAGAAGCCTTTTTAATATCTATCACTGTGAATTGAATCGACTATGTGTATCATTTAACGGAACACTTTTTAAAGTAGTATTCTTAACCGCGGTTGATAATTCCTCAAACAGGCTGTAGTCTCAATACTTCACATTTGGTTCAAACCAAAGAAACTGAAAGTGTCCTTACATAAAAATAATCCAGTGAAGTTTTATTAGTGTATTTGTTACCGTAAGTGCGACACATTTCCTAACATGGAGATTATTTCTTAATTTGAAAAGTAAAGTAAGTGAAAGGAAAATAAGTGCTAATGGAGGGAAAGATGATTTCAGAAAAGTTTTTGATGACTTTTCACTATAGAAAATGTCTGAAAGTAAAACTTCTGAAACAACCTTGTTAACTTGGTCGATTTGGCTGTCATTGTGGATGCTACATCATTAATAATCATTTCACTCATAGTGAAAGTATTCAGGAAGCTTCAGCTATGAAAATAAAGTCTTCTAATTGTTGGTATATTGTAGGGGGAAAACAGTAAGACTGTGATGAAAATTACAACGATAGACCACTGTTATTATGTGAGTTGCACACATTGAAAATATGGTTTAGCCATCAGAAATTTCGACCATTAGGCACAGCTTAGATCCTAGAAGAAATAACATGCTGGGAAAACTGACAGTTACATAGAAGAGAATACTGTTTTGAAACATTTTATAAGCTTAACAACCATGAAAATATGACGGAAAGATTATTTCCTTTCAAAATGACTTCTGATATGGACTGGAAATACACCCGATAACAAAGTAATAGATGCGATGTTTTATCAGTAATACGGCCACTATAGGTATTTCAAAAAGTTTGAAGATCATCGGTAAGTTGGTGCATCTACCAATTTGAAGAATCTAGTGGTCACTTTAATAAGTTGAAAAAATAAAATAAAGACGTAGAAACAATGTAAGCACTTGCATTTTAGCAGAGGAGTGATTATCAGCAGTGAAATATTTACTGTAACTGTTGAACTTCAGTTGTGTGGCAGTGAGACAGTTCTTATAGATTCGTTTTTGAAACTTCCTTATTACACTTCTTGATCGAAAAGCAGTGTTAGTCATTGAGGACCCAGCTGTCCTGTCATGTTCAGTTTTTCTGTAAGATGTACGGTTTTCTTCTCTCTTGTACACACTATTCCGTAAATTTTTTACAAGTGAAAAGGCTTTCTTCGTTATGCAATGTACCACCCATTGGTAATTAAGCTGTAATTTGACTATATCCTAAGTTCAATTTGGTTTATATAACCTCCAGTCAGACTACTAATTTTCACTATCATCTAGGCAACAATCCTAATAATTAGATGTAACAATCGAAATCTAATGGTCAAGTCCCAGTGATTTCAAGTGAGGGTAGACCACTCGGCGAATGAGTTCTGTTTCATTTCTACTTATTCCTAGGCACTCATAAAGGAAAAGTTCTTATACTGCATCATCAGCCAAATATAGTTTTTTAACCATTAGTTAAGAATAATCATTAAAAAACAACAGCACATATCCATAAAATACTTAATTTATAACAACTTTTGAAGGAGTACCTGATCTAGAAGTTTGCTGGTTGCAAACTTGTCACGAACAACTTATATCCAAATCTATTGGTAGATTTGTCATTTAACAAATAAAGATTCTCATAACATTGATAAAAAGCAAATATCTGAAAGGAGAATATTTTTTTTCAGTCGGGCACATGTGACCGAACAGATTCAAGATGGTTGAGTGTAGGTCTTTTTAAAGATTTCAAACTGGTTAGGATTCCATTTCTTCTTAATGACTTCCAATAAACCTTCGGATGGTGATTCCTTTGAACAAAATATTTGATGAACTCATTATGTATTCTGGATTGAGCAAGCCTTACTTTTAACTTTAGGAACGCTTTGGTTACCTTCTTCGTAATGTGATGGTCAGGAGAACAGTAAATTTTTGAGCAAATAGAGATTCTTATAACATTAACAGAAAGGTATGCACTCAACCACTTTGAATCGATTCAGTCACATGTTACCAACTTCCAAGATTATTCTTCGTTCTTATTGTTGCTTTTTGCAACAATAAATTTATCTGTAGCTTGACAGTATTTTGAACTACACTGAAAGATTTCAAAAATTGAGGGAAATAGGGTTTTTGTTTACTTTTGTTATATTTAGACCATTGAACTCGTCTTGAGTAAATCTAATTCAATCTTCTTTCAAAGTTGTTTGTACAACAGCATCAAACAATAAAAAGTCTTCCTTTCCTGATTTTTCTGTGTGGTGGATCTCTATTATATTGCATTTATTGGCTGGTTAATCTAATAAGTATTTGTTTCACTTCCTTTTCAGAAAGTTTACATTTCTTGTTAGATCGTAGGAGTTAATCGTCAGGAAGCTTTGTTTCGTGCTTGTTGGTAATCACCACCAACGGATATCTGAAGTCATGAGAATTCGAGTGTTCCATCCGTATGTTGGACTTCCATCCATTAGTAATGAAGGTGGAGACTAATTTCCTGTAGAACTGGAAGGTGTTTTGGAACTGGTAACCATTCGGTAATTGACTTAGTTGTCTAGTACTTGGCAGTCTGCACTGATTTTAGTCTTTCATATGCTCAATCATATATTCCTAATGCATTTTGCAATCCTGATACTGTATAATCAGCTCCGGATGTTCTAAAAACTAACAACTTCTGTTTGTCATTTGTTGGACAATTAAATATTAGCAACCCAGCTACCTTAATGACCACTTAAATATGATCACAAGGGTGCAAGATTTTGGAAAAGTATTCCTATTACATGTGTACAGAACTAAAAAGTAATCACTAAAGCATATAGTAAAAAAATGGTTTCTGGTAATCAAACTTATCATTAGATTTAACGTAACATTTATAATGCTGTACAGAATAATGAAAAGTTAGTTTGATATCTGAAACTTACCACACTTATACACTAGTAGCAAATAGTAGAAAAACTATCTTACAGTCGCATTTGTCAGATGAAGGAGTACCATTCTAATTCATTTTGCACTAATCTGGAACAGCATAAACTGATTTCATAACTTTTACACTCTCTGGACTTGAGCTTTTG